TTGCCTCAGTCTAGCAATTATGTAAATGAAGCATATGTTCGCCAGAAATTTGAATAAAAAATAATAAAAAATTTCCACTTAGCACCAAATAGTAAGAGATGACCAATAGGAAAATAAGAACGAAAGTAACGCGTAGCATGCTTTCAAAAATATGCCGCCATTTCTATGCTCTGGATTTGATGGCCTTTGACCTTCCACCTATTTGAATGTTGTTAGCAATCACAGCACATTCCATTGATTGCTTACAAAAAAATCCAATCGTCGTCAATGAATGGGAAGACGTAAACTTGTAATATCTGTTACAATCTACACTGTTGCATTTGATCTTGAATAGATTGAATAGGAAGAAAAATAATGAGTTATGAGAGTAAAATAAATATATTTGAATCATCATTGTGTTTTAGAATTGCTGTTCTATTGATGCACGTTAGCTTGACTGACTAAGACCTCCGGGACTGAGTGAATTTTAGCAAACATTGACAGGATTTATTGTATACAATTTTTAGAATGAAAACATGGAACGTTGAAATTTAAGAGAGAATTAAAGACATAATTCTGATAATTCATCAAATAGTTGAAAACAGAGGTAAAAATCACGGTTCATAAAATGGATCATTTTTTGTTATCATCCTCAATGGTGCTTTTTGATTGAATGGGCGATATGAGCACACCGTAAGGTAAACATGATGGTGGTGTTTCGGTACCGCTATACGGATGTTCCGGATCATGATCCAACGGTTCATCAGGAGCTATTCCGTTCCTCTGTAATATAATTTAATAAAACTTAGTCTTGTGCCCTCTATGAATCCCATTAGCAGAAAAAATTTATTAAAAAAAGAAATTTTGTTCATACTTTAGCAATATGTTTGAGTAAGAAATAGATATATCCATAATCGGGAATACTAGCGTACTGTAAATTATCAACATATTGCATGATTATCCGATAATGCGGCAATGGACAACCTTCCAAAAGTAAATCTACTCCAGCTGCTTCCCGACTTTGCTCTTTCATTAACATGATCTTATCACGATCCTGATTCTGAAATGATTAGGGATGACTGTTCGCAGGTGGAATTGAAAATTTATCGAAATTGAAGTAATCCATATTATATAGGAAAACTATCGTATTAGAATCATGGTTAACTTAAATCATTATCCATTTATAATTGAAACTCGTGAGTTTACAAAAAATTAAAACCTGCGCAATGCAAGCTAGAACTTATATTCTTTTTTTTTATTTACTTTAAAGCTTCTCCAAGGTAGAGCGCCTACTGTCCACTCGATGACCATATAGAACCAAGACTCGATATCATCTTTCGGTGATTGTTCCCGTTTTCTGTGACTGTTTAACGAAGCATATCGTGGAGTACCACGAAATGGAGCAGATTTGCGTGGCAGACGGCAATCTTTAGTTCGTGTACTGGAATAGATCAGATAATCTTAATTAAAGGCTTTTTCACTTGCATATTCCAAGTTATTTCATCCTCTTATTCTTAGCTTTAAAAAAGCCGAAGTCACTTCTCGAATTGCTTTTATAAATTTAAAAACAAACGCAAACTGTCGAGCAAGACCAAAATCGAAGATGTAAACAATATGAAAATCGTTTGTTTCTGGACGACCAACTCCAAAATTTGATGGTTTAACATCGCGATGAAGAAATCCAATAGAATGCATGTCCTAAAATAAGAAGACTTTATTGATTGGAATGAGGAAAATGTTAAACAGCTCCCGAAACAAACAAAGTTGAGAATAAATCAATCAATAGACAAAAATAGTTCAAATAAAGAATGTAAAAATCTCAATCAAGAAATACTCTCAGTTTTATTTATTATAATGCCATCATGTAATGCCATTTTTTGCAACAACTAATGAGTTAAGCCGAGTTAAGCTAAACAGATTAAGTGAAGTGAAGATTAACAGATACCTGTAAAGCTTCCAGAGTTTGCTGAGCGAATCGTAATGCTGTTCCGAGTGAGAAATGATTTCTTGCTTGTGATGTTCGTAATGTATGTAAACTTGGACCCAACTGAAACTTTGCGTATTCATTTCCTTTTTAGCAAAGCTTTTTGAGAAAATATGATTTGCTAAGTGATGATAACAAAATAGCATTGTAATGAAACAGTAGTAAAATAACAATAACATCAGTATGCAAATAATTTGGTAATTCTTAATGGTAACATTATAGTGTTGAATGGTAGCATTATTGATTTCTTTCAATTTTCAAAGGAGCATTGTACCATTGTAATAATAATGAAACGAAATTTTCCTTCCACTTTACCGAGTTCGAAAATTTTACAAAAATGTGGACTCTTCAGTATTTCAGCTCCTCGTAACACGAGGCAATCCATCAAAAGGACCTAAAATTTAAGTTCAGATATTGAACATTTATATCATGCTTTGCTAGAAAAGATCTCTTTTAAAAAATAAATTTCACCTTGCGTGAATGCTTGTAAGATTCTAACTTGGCAGCGTACATTTTGTCATCAGTCGATGATTGCACTTGAAAGACAGCACCAAAGCCACCTTTACCAAGAAGTTTGATCACCTGTTTTGTGGAATGGTGCTAATGCCAATTAATGGAAACTTTTTAAAATTACTTTCCAAGAAAATCACGCAAATTGGACGCGAATTCTCAGGAATTGAAATCCGCATTCAATTATACATCAATTAAATATCCAGCTATAAAGTTACTAAGATATTTTCAGTAACTTTACAATTGAATGCTTTATTTCCTATAAGTAGTAACTAGTAATTCTCGATGTCCATTGATTATGATCACTGTTAGCTATGTATTTTGGTGGTCCTCCAAATTGCTGAATCATTAGATATTACTCTATCTCGAATTAGTAACCTGATATTTAGCAATTTTCCCTTGAAAGCTGGAACCTTCTTTGGGGAAATCTTTTAATGATAACGACTGCTTTTGTCCATGAACTACAGGCGGC